GAATGCCCTTGGGGAGGAAAAAAGTCAGATCCTCAGCGGTTGTCTTTTGTATGGCATGCAGTTAGAAGCCAGAATGAGTTACAAGAAACTTGTCAACAGTAATGAAGTACTGCAATGTGTTTCCCCTGCAATTTTGCCTCAACGTGGTAGCAGGCAAGACTTTTTTGTATGAGCTATTTAATCACGATAATACTTAACAAGGTAACACCCCCTGAGTCTGGCCTTGTTCAGTACACCTTATATCAACAATGGCAGTAGCTGTGTTTTTGTTGCAGCGTGAGTTACCTTAAATGCACCTACTTCCACCTTTTTCAGCCCTTTCTCAAAGAAATAAATCACACACTACTAATTTGCAACAGAAAATACATTTTCAGCACAGCATAAAGCATCCCTTTAATCAACATAATAAGGACAAGTTGTTAATAAAAATATCTGCCAAGTCACTAAATGCGGATACTGCACTTATCTGCAAAACACATCATACTTTGTTTGTTTTTGTTCTACAATATCTGCTAATAACAGCCGAAGCACGATTAAAGAGGGAAAGACCATGTCCTTGGTTTAACAATGAAATTAATAATATTAACGATAAAAAGTAACTTAAAGCACAAGACAGGACATGATCAGCAATTAACTGAAACCAAGATATTTCCCCAACTTTAACAGAAGCGCTTTTTTTTCATAAATCTAAACATGTAAGACTTAAGATACCCCAGTCTCCGATGTGAACAAGCTGCACTCTGTTTGTCTCTTAAAAAAAAAAATGTAAAAAACATAACTGGTCGTATATAAACATAAGTTACAGGAAAGAGGGTTGCCCATTTGTATGACATTGATTGAAATGAGGGATCACAAAACAACAGCATAAATTACAATTATTTGACCAAGATCTGGACTGCAATTATTTAGAAAGTCATGTTACTTTTCTGGCACAGAGGACTTCCTCTCAACACTGTGCACTGCACACGGTCATATCGAATGGCAGCTTGAATTAGTTAATTTCAGGCAAACAATGTCTATGTATTGCTCTTTCCTTTTAAATATATACAACAATTACGAGATACGGACATGGTAACAATTGCAAAATTACGTGTATGTTTTTGGAGCATCATACTATATGGGCCAAAGCACACTAATGCCCTCGTATTAAAATGGGAAACTGGGAAGTTGCAGGGCTAAACATGTACAGCATTGGATAAACTGTACTGCACCTCCAACTGCTGCAAAATACTTTTAAAATTACAAACAATTTGAGCTCAAAGTTCTTTTTTACGTTAAAACTGGGGAACACCAACCCTCAAAGTGTTTATCTGTAAAGTGCATGAGGTCTTGACCTTTTAATACCCAGAATAGACCTCTTTTATTATCCAGGAAATTGTTTCCTTACCTATAGGTGTGGTGCAGTTGTCTGTGTATCAAATGTCTCACGGTAACACCAGTTGTCCTCCGACTATAACCCCACAGCTAAATAGCTTAGTTGCTCTGATGCAGTTCAGGGAGTCCATGCCTGAGTGTACTTGTTTGTGTGCGATGTTAAAGGGAAGAGGTCTAACACTTGTGATGGTCCAATTGTCATAATTGATATTCATCTAATCTCTTTTCTTCAGGGGGAAAAGGAGTTTTGGTTTCAACACTTAATTTGATAATCTGTGAGAAAAGCACAAAAGAGACATTCTGTGGATTCTTAACCTTTCCTCAACTTTGGCACTCCCAGAGGCAGGAAAGGAGTATCTTTCATCACAGTTATTAGTTCACAGAGACACCCTTGACCTCTGCGGTGGTAGCCAACTGTCAACATAACTGGTGTTATTGTAATGCAGGTTCACTCTTTTTGACTTCAGTCGGAGTCATTTAGGTCTATTTGTTGGCTTAGTAGGTAGAGGCCTGAGTTCAAGCGTATATAGGTTTCAATATTACGAGACTATTTTGACATGACCCCTTACTAACATCTTTGTGACACATGCGTGTTGAAGTACAACAGCCATTTAAAACAAAATTTTGATATTATTATTAAAAGTTAAGGAAATATAACTTAGGGGAAAAATATGATCAAACAAAGATAACAGCTAATTAGCTACAGAAGAGCACATTTTTGTTTGTTTACATATTCATGACTGTCACACATGCATCCTCTTGGGAGAAAAAAAAACGTGACAACACATTTACAACAATCATAAAACATAATCTGGGTTTGTAAAAACACAGCTACTATATCTGTTTTGATATAGTAAAGTTTTAAAATGTGTTAACTTTACTTGTCTGTATTTAATTGTATGCTATCATTTTTTTTCACTGAATATGATAGTATCTATTAAACAAAATGTACAGTAGGTCTACTGCTGAGAATCTTTCTGTTACTTTTAATAGCCTTAGTTTCAAACTCACTGGCCCTGGAACTCTTATTTTTGGGGTGTTGTAGGTGACAGTTTGGGTAGATGTAGCTGAGCATGCAAGCCAGTTTCCATTCATACACATACACACATCAATAGCATATAAACAATATTAACACAGTGTCTAGATTGTTTTTCTGCAGAAGGCAGGTACCAAGAAAATAAAAATGTAAAGATGAAATTGGTGACAGGAAATTTAAAATGTGGAACACAGGCAGTTAGAAAGAACAGATCCACTACCTTAGTGACTCAGTAGAATGGAGCCATTAAGGCATAACAGCTTATGAAGTGCCTCCTGTAGATTTACATGATAAAAATATCTAATATGAGCAGCTTGAGGATTTTCTTTCTTTTTACAAAGGGAGAGAGTATTCAAAAACCGTTAAGTTATGACGGTGTGTGCATGTCATCGCGTGTGCGTGGACGCTCGTGTGTGTTGTACAGCGACAGATACAGATGGCCATCTGTTTCGAGGGAAACGCATTAGAAGTGAACGTGTTGTGGACGAGTTTAAAAAAGGGGGGATGGACTGGGAGACAAAGTTTTTGTGCTCTCTCTCTCTCTTCTTTCTCTCTCTCTCTCTCTCGCTAGGTTGAAGCTGGGGAGCTTGTGGTGGTAATGAGAGTTTAACAAGACTCAATAAATCAGTTAACGGTGATGGTTTATTGCCCTCAACACGTGTCATTGTTTACCAGGAAAGGAAGGAAGCAAAATTTCTATTTTTCAAAAAAAGAACAAAAAACTTTTCTTCAAAGAAAAAAAAGGGGAAAACGAAATCCAGGTGGGTGTAATATGTAATATCATATTATTATTTTTATCAGTATTATTATTGTTAATAAAGAAAAATTACAGACATTTTTATCGTTTCTGTAATGTCTCTTTCACTTACATTTAGAGATATTTTCTGTCTCTTTACACCCAGCCCCCCTCCACCAACCCACCACAACCAGCATATTTAGCCCCCTGCACACATTTCCAGCGGGTTATCACAATTGCCATTCCTCCCCTCCTTTCTGATGTGTTACCCAGATTACCATCAGTGCCCCTCAGATATTTTTAACAGATCCTCGGCGCTCGGCAATATCCACTCGGAGCCATCTGGTGCAGATCAAAATCTACTGACTTCTTGGGCTTCAGTCGTTAAGGCATTAAATCTAGATCTACAGAATACCCCCGTTGACTCGGGAGGTGGGTGATATAAGAATCAAATAAAATAAAAATAGAACTGTTAAAACATGAACGCCCCCCTCTCGTGAGCCACATGGCTGTGTGTCAGGAGTGGACAGCTAAGGAAAGGAGAGTAGGTTAGAGTCCGACCCTTCCTTTTCCTGAGCTTGAAAATGGATAAGCGGTTCAAGAGGAGATGGCCAAAGCTATAGCATCAGATTATTTTTTTTTTTCAATTCAGTTCCTGTGGAATTATGTATCTTTTTTTCCGGAAAGCTGATAAAAGAAAAGAGAACATATAAATTGCAAAACGGTAATTAGCTGTGCACGCTGTTGTTACAGTGAACAGGTTTCTGAACTATGAGGGATAACTTACTCTTCATCCTCACTTTTTTGAGTTTATGTGTAAATAAAATGAGGGACACAAAAATGTAAATTGATGATATTTTGTGGCGCGTACATGGACCTGCAGACTTTGGTGCCTCGGTGTTTGAGATGTTCCCGGCTTTTCGTCAGTCCTTTTTACTCAGAACAAGGAAACGTGGAGTGGCTCTGTTGTTACAAAGGACAACAGCAATCTGGTTTAAGTCCACGCACACACGCACATGCACGCGCGCGTGCAGATAGAAAGAGGGTGAGAAAAACAGAGTGAGAATTTGGCTGATTAAACCTTAATGAAGAAATCAAAGAAAACCAAAACAGAAGTCAATAAAAACATACATAATTTATAAATGATATGGACAGATTTGCAAGGTTTTACTTAACTGCTCTGACTTTTGGAGAAGAAGTTTTGAAATTTGCCATTTAATCTTTAAATATAGATCGTAGATACATGGCTGATAATATTTTTTTATTTGGTAATTTTATTAAAACCTTTCTGTTAGAATATCTCATCCTAACAAACACAATTAACTATATACATTTTGAAAACATTAGATGAAGAACACAACAAAGAAGAAATCCAAACTTGAAGGAAGATACTAAATTAAACACATTAGACACATTAAATTAAATAAACGCACCAGCAGTCCGTGATACCAAATACTAATTCCTCTGTGGAGAGGCATTTTCCCCCTTTAATTACAATTTAAATCTATTCAAAGTAAGTTCCTTCTTCTGACGGGTTTACTTCCCCCTGTGTCGGACAGCTGTAAAATCGTGTAGACAGGTTGTCATACAACAATCAAAGCCTTCGGTGAATAGACTCTAATGCTTGAACATTTAACATACAATAAGTCCAAACAGGGAGGGAGAGAAAGAGAGAGTCAGAGAGAGAGACTGAGAGAGAGAGAGAGAGAGAGAGAGAGAGAGAGAGAGAGAGAGAGGCCCCAGCCAATGTGCTCACTCTATATTCACATTATCCACATTGCTCCAAACGAGGAGGAGCTTGCAGGCTCAAGTAGGGGATGCCAATCAAAGCATCAACTTCAAATTGTATCTGAGAGATCAGCCTGGAGACCTCAGGGCCAGGCGCGTCAGTCGGAGCGCAATTGTTGATCAGATCACATCCAGCGGACTTTGCGCGAGAAAAGAGAGGAAGTCGAGATTTAAGAGCGGGTTATTTTGACTGCATACCACTGCATGTCTGTAGTAGCTGTGACTTTGGCTTAAACACTTTCCCTTCACTTCTCCGGTTTCCTTTTTTTCTTTTTTCTCTCGCACACTTTTTTACGCACGGTTTGTCGGACGATACGGCTGTGCGACAATTCGGCGGTGGAGATGTCTTTCCCCCAGCTAGGCTACCCGCAGTACTTAAGTGCCTCCCAGGCGGTGTATGGGAGCGAGAGACCGGGAGTGCTTACACCTTCGTCCCGGGGAGGGAGCACCGAAATCGGGGGAAGTCCGTCCGCCACCGCAGCGGCGGTCACGTCGGTTTTGGGCATGTACGCCAACCCGTACGCACACAACTACAGCGCTTTCTTACCTTACACCAGCGCGGACTTGGCTCTTTTCTCACAAATGGTAAGAATAAATATTTTTGTATTTTGTTTCTGTTCACGGACAATTGTCTATGCTTTGTTCCCACCGCCGTCTGAAAAAAACAACAACCATGGCAGGGTGTATTCTCAACAAGAGATCTAAATGAATTCTAAAGTGCTGATTTTTTGTTATATCCATGGCTAAATATTAGTTTTGACAGCTTAGTTTGTTGCTTGGCTGAGTTAGAAATGTGAAAAGTCTGAGTTGTGACTGCAAACAAAAAACAAATCTCACTGGAAAGGATTTATTCGTCCATAAATGAAAACGTGCAAACAAAAGACATAATTTACACCAAGCATACGATAATTATCTCGCATTGTTAGAAGGGTGGATTGCAATGTTAAAATGGAAGGAATAACCCGTGCAATAGATCTGTATTTTGGCATGTGCACCAGCGTAAAGAAAAAGTTTTTACTCGTTTCTTACCGTCGCCAGATTATTTTCCTCAGCTCGTTAGAAATCATCTCCCATAGGGAAAGCCTCGTCTATAAATATGCAATAACTTTTAATCGTGCAGACTTTGTTTTGTTAACAGTATATCTTTATGCCATGGATGAATGCCACGCGGATTTTTACTGTGTCTAGATGAGATATTGTCAGACATTTATTGCTCTAAAATACACCTGGTGATAATAATTAACTTGCAAATTACTTGTTAACGTGTTGGCTAATGTGTGCATCAGGCCCAAAGTAACTATTGCGCTAAAGCTTGAAAACAAGAGCTAATATCTAAAATCCAGGCCTGTGTGTTGTTCGAATTGTTCGATATGTGTGAGTTGTTGTGTCCAAAGCAAATATAAATGAGACAGGGGATTAAATTCGGCACAAAAGTACAAGTGTGGCACGCCGGGGAAACTTAACTTAGGCCTCAAACTGCTGTGACATACTTGAGGAGTGTGGAGGGGAGTTTGGCAGGTACACATGAAAGCTGGCAATTTGCATGCCATCTGTGCATTCACACTGATGCAACGAACTTTCTCTCGTCCCGTTGACTTCATTTGCTCCGTTATTAGACTGTCATGTATGAAAAGTGTTTGCCTTTGAGAGGGTAGTTGTGCAGGCGCAGGTGGCGCTAGCATGTAGTATTTTGCAAGTTGAGGAGCTTATTTGTAGAAAGCTCAGAGTCAGGTGCAACTGCAACTCTTGTTTTTTTATTTTTTCATGGAGGCCATTTTCAGTTGTTTGAATTGCAGATGCATACCATGGCAAAAATCCATGAGCTAAAATTATATATTAAACATGACTTTTACAATCCAGCGTATCAAAAATGACTATGTAGGCTAAATGAAATATCCTGCTGTTATAAAAAATTATCCATTACTTTCAAGGGATCCCAGTATGAGCTGAAGGAGAGTCCTGGCGTCCATCCTGCCAGCTTCGCAGCACACACGTCTCCTGCCTTCTATCCATACGGCCAGTTTCAGTACGGGGACCCGGCCAGGCCCAAGAACGCCACAAGGGAGAGCACCAGCACCCTGAAAGCCTGGCTCAATGAGCACAGGAAGAACCCGTACCCAACCAAGGGGGAGAAGATCATGCTGGCCATCATCACCAAAATGACGCTGACGCAGGTCTCCACCTGGTTCGCCAACGCCAGGAGGAGGCTCAAGAAGGAGAACAAGGTGACCTGGGGAAGCAGGAGCAAAGAGGACGGGGAGGACGGTAACTTGTTCGGCAGTGGAGACGAGGCGGAGAAAAACGAAGACGAGGAGGAGATTGATTTGGAGAGCATAGATATAGACAAAATCGACGACAATGACGGGGATCAGAGCAACGAGGACGATGACGATAAATCAACGGAGGGGAGCAGGGACCACAGGGGCGGTATCGGTGCAGGTGGAGAGTTGGACAGTTTGGAGAGAAGACGGGCCTTCGCCCTACAGGCCCATCAGGCCTTTGACAAATCTAAGAGCCCAATTTCAGTTCACCCAGGGAGTAAGGAGAACTCGGACGGAAACAACAACAACACCACAAGAGTTTTGTCCCCGGATAGACCTGGGAGCTTTCCTCTCCCGTCAAACAATAAGCCTAAAATATGGTCTTTAGCGGAGACCGCTACTAGTCCCGATAGTTCATCTCAGAAACCCTCGTCCCCTTGTGCCCCAGCGGCCACCACTCACTCATCAGCGCCCCACCACCAGATCCAGACCCACCCGGCCTTCCTCCCCAGTCATGGACTGTACACTTGCCAGATTGGAAAGTTCCACAACTGGACAAATGGGGCTTTCCTGGGCCAGAACTCCCTGCTGAACGTGAGGTCGTTTCTGGGAGTAAACCAGCACCATCACCACCACCACAACCACCACTTGCCGGCCCAGCAGCAGCCGACATCAGTGGTGGTGTCGCCGGTAGCGGCTGCAGCAGCACTCAGCAATGACAACAAGGTCCCACCAGAGACCCACAGTCCCAAGCACATAGGTAGGAGAACAGTCTCTACGCGTGCACGCGCACAAAAGTCACATGCAAGCGCTACGAACTTTATACTGAACATGTATTACATAGGTTACAACCTATTACTTTAATATGAATTTCATTCTTGCTTGTATTTATACATAATTAGAATTTTAAAAAATGCACTGTGCACACTTCACGTACTGGATATACAACACTGGGTTCATTTTAGTTAGGCATGTTCATATATGTTAGCAACACAGATATGTATATATATATATATATATATATATATATATATACACACACATATATATACATATCTGTATATATATATATATATATATTATATATATATATATATATATATATATATATATATATGTATATGTATATCCATCCAGCATGCTAGTGCTGAAAAGTGTTTTTATTTTATTTGTTTTTATTTTTATTCTTATTTTCCCTTTTAGACCATGAAAACGATGTAAGGTCTGATTCACCTCCAACACAGATCCTGAAGTCTTCCTTTCGACCCATCCATGACAGGTGAGACATGTTTGCGCTTCTTTTGCGTTTGTTGATTATTGGAAACACGTTGCCATAAAAAAAATGAGCAGTTCCAGCCTGATATGAAATTATAAAATAAGAATGCCATGCTTGTTGCATCAATCAAAGTATGAGCTTATTTAGACCTTTTTTCAGCAGCATGTCCAATAGGAGTAAAAATAACTCATGTTTAATTTGAGTAATTTTAACTCAAAGAGTTAAACTCAAATTAAACATGAACGTTAGGGAAGCCCAGGAAATTGATAAAATTATAACTCCAGTATTTATTCGATAGATACATAGGAATATAGCGGATGCAAACCCTAGGCTAACTGTTCAACGAATTCCAGTATCCAAACCCAAAGTTGATGTCTATTTTTTTTCCCCCAACATAAAACAACAATGCTAACACTAAAAAATAAAATAAACAAAGATAAATTAAACACAGTTTGCTTTGCGGGTGACTGGGGTCTTGACTCCTATCCCACACCCCCTTTAATTCCTCCCCTCTGGGGAGAGTGTGGCTACTTATCAAGTCACCGAGTAAAACGGGCTCTGTCTGGGCTGTGTGCTTTCCCTAAAGACCCCTGGGAGACCCGGAGCCCAGGGGAGCGCTCTTACCGAAAAGGGGAAAATAAGTTTACCTCTGTTTCAAGTACAAAATCCCCCTCTCTCTATGCAACAGTCATATAGAAATAAAAAGCATACACATGAATTATAATTGTTAATATTGGTTACACAAAGATGATTTTTTTTCACACACATTTTTTGGAGTTGTAAAATAATTATTGTGATGTATTATTATCTATTATCTATTATTATTATTATGTATAAGTATAAGTAGGCTATGTATTAATATTATTATTCAAAAAAGTGAGGGATTGAGAGGGGGCACTGCAGTCTGTTCAGCCAGACACTTGAGATGCATAGTGAAACCCGCTGTCCAAACACGGCGGGGGTATTTATCTCTACCTTTCTGCATTATTCTTTATCCAGATCCTCTCTGCCTTCCAGCGCCAGGAGTCCACAAGACGCCACGCAACGGGTCCTCACTGCTCTCTCCTCTGCTTGATCAAGACATTTTTTTTCTGCTTGAAAAAAAAAAAGAAGAAAAGTAGAAAAAAGACTTTACACTTCCTAAAAAGGACAATGAGAAATAATAATGCAGCGTAGCATTCAGTCGGTACAGAACAAATGACGTAATTTGGTAATATCCTGTGGATGGATGGATTACTTCCTCTATTGTTGTGTAGCCTATACTCCCGCCTGTAATGTTACTCTCTCTCTCTCTCTCTCTCTCTCTCTCTCTCTCTCTCTCTCTCTCTCCACTTTTCCCAGGCAGGCAGGGACATTTTGGTAGACTCTTTACTTTATTATTATTATAATTATAATTATTATTATTTTTGTCTCTATCCTGTGTTTTTGGTGTCCTTTCTTTAATGTAAATACCAAGTGATTTAAATTTGTAAATAGGAAGCGTTGAAGGAATTTGTCCAGATCGTATATTTTGCCTAATAAACTAAATGAAATTATAGAGAAAACCCAAGAGTATCATCAGCCTTTATTTCTTTTTTCATTATAATAATAATAATTATAATAATAATTATTATTATTATTATTATTATTATTATTATTATTATTATTATTATTATTATTATTATGTAAGATACCATTATTTGAAAAGTAAACTAGGCCACTTTTATTTCAAGAAGGGTGGGAATGGGAGAAAAAAAAAATTATATATATATATATTGGCAGTCTGCAGCCAGGCTTAATTTTATTCAAGTTTGGGAGGAAAGCAGCGTGGATGCATTGAGGTGCTAATAAGTGTCCAGATGGTTGCTGGTGACAGAAAATGGACAGGAGCAGCTGGGAAGGTCATTAAGTAATAATATGGGAACGCCCAGTCCAAACAAAATCAAATGGTTAAAATCTAATCTGTCAGAGAGAGAAGTCGATTCGAAGATAAATTATTAATATTTTCGTTTTGGGGGGAGGGGGAGGCTGAGACTGTCGGCCTTGTGGAGCAGGGCCTGTGTTTTGGGGTCCTGTCTGTTCTGAGGCTGATAGTGATCATTAGGCTATAAAAGCAGCTTCTTTGCTCCTCAATCGGAAACCAAATGCAAATATTGATTTACCAAGACTGCCTAATGGGGTTTAAACATAATAAGGGGACAGTGCAATAATTAACTGTGATTGGAGATGATCTGTGCATTGGGTTTTGCTCTTTTTATTTGCAGGCGCCTACCACCCACGATTATTATAAGAAAAGGAAAAGGACCATTTTCACGATCTTCTGTAAAATGTGACTGACATTTTATTTCTTTATTTGTTTGTTTATTAGATTTACCTATCATCTGATAATGTTATTGTCTGGTTGAAACCAACTGCACACATGTATTTCTCCTGAAATAGCTTTAGTATTATCGGAGAAAGCGTTCGTAGTTTGAGTTAGGACACCTTTGTAAGTGACAGTAAGCTGCGAAGTGAGCTGTTCCAGAGGGCGAATTATTCGAGTGGCCTAAACCTGTGGAGTGACTTGTGCACATCTGTTTTGCAATATCACAGCGACCTCTATAGGCGAGTAATATATTGCTTAAGCTTGAAACAGCTTTCAGCCTCCAAAGAGCTATAAATCACATGAAAATACGTGCACCAGAACTGTATCATCACACACAATGCAATATGATGTTATATTTAAACTCATTGCACTTAAGTGCAGTATGTTATCACAGAGTCTAGAGGGATAAAAATAGTAGCAAAACTGGAAATCACTTTATTTTGCAACTAAGTTCACAAAACTATTATATAAAAACATGTTTATTTTTCGTTAGGGGCCAAAATCATCTTTCATTTTGATATATTATTCTGCAATATACAATCTGCTGTTTGGAGTTGTAATGTCATTTAAAAGCCTGCACACCCTCCAAATTAAGCAAATAGATAGCTGTATAAAATTACAGCAAATAGCAAAAGTGATGTTTTGTCCCTTTAAAAAAAAATGCTTGGTAAACGTTGACCAGACCATATCTGTGTGGCAGTTGAGGACGTCTATGCGCATAAATCTGTCACTTCAATGGCCATTCGTTAAACAGTCAGGCAGTGGAGGAAAAATTAACAAAGGTCACTGAAGGTTTTGTTGACCGGAGCGGGGTCATTCTGCTTTTAAAGTTTTAACACAACTTTACTCACATAATATGCAAATAGCAAAAAGGCTTCTCTCTGTCTAAGAACAATCAAAAGAGCGAAAATAAATTAGGTTTCTGTATAGCCCAAGAAGGACGTTTAATATGTCTGTGACGATATGAACAGTCACCTTTATTGTTTTCTTTCCTCTGCTTCTTTGTAGTGCTAACTCTGTTGGTATAAAATATTACAAGCTGTAGAGATAAAGAGTGTCCCAGCCCTGTCATTAGATATCGGTCGGTCGAAATTAGAATAATATAAAGCCATGTGAAGCCCGAATTGACTCTTGTCAATTTCTCTTGTGCTACAACACGTGCTTTGGCAATAATGATTCTAATATTGAGGCGGTAAAAGGCAGGTGTGTAAATTGCAAATTCCCCTCCCTCCATCCGCACTCCATTTGCACATGACATCCTCTCATGAGCTGGCTTTTGGGGCTAAAATTAAATAACCTCTCAATGTCCCATTTATTTCTTTTGTACTGAAACAGCGTGGGGTTAGCGCAAAGGCGTTAGCTGCAGGCAATAATATTGTGTTTCCATAATATATACAAAATTATGCATTTAGTAAGTGGATGTACAGTGGATTGTCTAATGGGTAATGAGCGGAGTTGGAGCTGATAATTAGGCTGTCACTTCTAGCCATTTCTTCCCCGCATGCCTTGGGCCACTGCAGGGGAGGGAAAGAAAATAAAGACCATGAAGAGAAAAAAAAAGAGAGACCAGATAAATTAATCAAATGTAAATATAGCTAAAGAATAATGCTCTTTGGAATTACAGAGGTAAATACATATTATTATCTGTGTTTTAAAAACACTGTTGCAATTGTTAAACACAGTTAAAAAAAAAGCTCATATTATGGTAATTGCGCTATTATTAAATTATATCATAACCCATTTACTCATTGCTAGACTAAAAAAAATAATTGTGTTGCTGTTTAAAAACAAAAAAGAAAGAAGGAAAGAAAACAACTCATAAAAACTATTTCCAGCAACCTTTGAGAGGTTGTAACTCTTTTAAAGGCAGGGCAAGGTTTGGATATTTTCCTCTGAGGACTGCATGCTAAAAGCTGCTCAGGAGATATGTAAATTGTGGCTCATGCAAAGACAATAAGTTGTTGACCCTAAAACAATTTAGCATTCTGTCACAGCCTGTGGCCCCCCATAATACCGCAGCCTTTTGTTGGTGAACAAGGACCGTCTCCCCCTGCAACTAAGACATGTCACACTGTGGCAATCCATTCATTTTAGGGGTGAATTATGCGTTGTTTTTGTGTTTGTGTGCATGCGTGTGCGCGTGGAACAGTGAGAGTTTGTGTGTGTGTGTTGGGGTGGGGTACATGGGGGAGGAAAGTTTATCTCTTTCTTGTCCTTTTGGCAGAAGCATGCTATTCTTACAACCGACTCGACCCCTTGTTAGTCCAGCAACACAAATGTCTTTGCCTCTTCCTGTCCCTTCACCCTCCTCTTCCAACCCCCACTTCCCTTCAACGTCTCCGTTGTCTTTTCTCAAAGATGCCCGCCCATGTCTGCGCCCCTCTAATCCATTTATCTAGTTTCATGAGTGAAGCACTGGTCGAACGATGATACAAAAGCCACCCCCGGCCCTAGCCCTGGCCCCAGCTGGGGGAAACACACAACAACAACCAACAAGTCTCTGGAGCCCGGCAGTAGCAGCCACAGCGGGGCCCCCATCGAACCCTGCTTCACCATGTTTAGCTGACTACTTTGCTCCTGTTCCTTGTTTTAGCGACATAATGGCAGTGAAAGGAATTGATGCCTTGGTCACAGGCTTTTCATTCCAGGAGCGATAGGCTGCTGTAAGACACGATTCTTGCCACAGGAAGAGGTTGGAGGATTCGGTTGGAAAAGGGAAAACTGAGGGAGGGAGGCTCTCGGCACGACTACATTCAAACACAAATAGCAACAAGGAACTGGTACTTGCCTGACAACTGGCTGGCTGACTGACTCACTGCCGGTTCAGCAACAACTCACAACAACTCAACAACCCATGCAGACCCCTGCTGACACAAAAACCTGGCCTGGCTTATAGATATACTAGAAAATAAACACGGTCTCTCGCATGTTTGCCTGGTTTTCTTTCATTTGGCCACTCAAAGCGACATTCTTATGTTTTGATCGGGCAAAAAAGGGAGAAAGAGATAACAAAGCAAGGCAGGGAGAGCAGTCGAGTAAAGTTTTCCTCTGTTGAACATTCTTTCTGACTCTGAGTGAAGAACACAGAAAAGCTTCTTCACTCCTCTGCAATGAGGACAATATGCTTATTTGGGTCTCAGTCAAAACGCTGTGCCAACTATTGGGGCACTAATTAGCTGGCCTAATCTAGAAATATTATCCTCAAATCTGATATATCCCAGTTGAAATGGTTTATTTTAAGAGACCTCGGCTGAACATAGAGGTTCATTATTATCTTCTTGTTTGCTACATGTTTGTTGATCAAAGTTATTTCCATGTGTCTGTTGTTGTTTAAAGGGCATTGACAGGGTCCAATATACACACAAGCGCTCATGTTCAGGCACACACACACACAGACACACACTTGTACTCGATTTATGCTTCTGTTCCATTAATGACTGCAAACCAATTAAAGCTGGTCTGTCTTGAGTTCTCCTGAAGTATCCGTACATAGCAGCTCTACCAGAACAGAACTATATTTAGGGGAGAAATGTCTTGTGATTCCCCCCCCACGCCCCCCACACACACAGGCACACTCCCTCTCTCTCACAAACACAAGCACGTACCCATGCACGATGAACGTGTGCACAAATTCCAAGTACAGTCTGTTGGAGGATCAGAAATATTTTGCCTTAATTATCCTTCAGTATGGATCATGTTCTTCAGGAGGGACTAGTAATGATGGGGGTATTTATAGTCATTCATTCTCTCCCTGTAATTATACACTCCTCAAAATTGGGGTTTTTACATT